TTGTGAAAAATTAGAACCTGATGTTTGGGACCTAGTGCCTAGAAGAATCTAACAATGTGCACCCAGTTGACTACAATAATCTAAAAATTGAATGTAACAAAGAAACAAAGAAAACCCGAAAACCGAAATTATATAGAATGTGGAAAGGCTGCATCTGAGAAAGCAAAAAAGGCCGAATGAATGGCCCAAGCCCATGTAGCTAGTGAAAATTATCAGGAAAAATAAATATTAAAAAGGTTGAATTAATGGGCTCGGCCGATGTAAAACACCGAATTGGACCGGGCTGATTCTTATCCACGCCAGCTTGCCACGCTGGATCCTACGTGGCCTGGGGAGGCTGCCAGTGACAAAAAATTTGGTCGTAGAACCAACAACCTTTTACATATCACAGAGGAGGTTGTTAATTTCAGTTTACGACGGCCAGCTTTTGACCATCTATTTTTGGTCACAAGAAGGTCGCAAATGAAAAACAATGACCATACAACGACCAATAGTGATGGTCGCAAGTTGACATATTTCTTGTAGTGTCTAGCACTGCTTTACATGGCGCGTGTAGTAAACCCCACTTGGGGGTATCTGATCCGTTTATTGGTGAGACTATGGCACTACAAGATGGGGTGATCTTTGCAAACCTGCGTGGATTCTCACATGTGATCATGGAAATAGATTGCTTCGAGATTGTTAATCTCTGGAAAACTCGTCACTATAGTCTGTCTATGGTGGCACCAGTATTAGTAAAAATTAGAGAGCTAGCTTCCTTTTTTCTTCTTTTGATATTCAACATGTAAACCGACCAACCAATGTACCGGCCCATCTTTGTGCAAAACATGCATGCACTCTGACGGTTACCAAAAGTTGGACTGGTTTGAGACCCTCTTTCCTGCTTACCAGCTTGTTAGCTGATGATGCTAGGAGTTCGTTCATTGAATAAAACTCTCTGATTGGAACGCAAAAAAAAAAGCAATAGAAGAGAAATGTAATATCTCAAGTTCAGCATTTGCCTCCTATGTGTACGAAGATTTTTTAGACTCTCATGAAGAGCATAATAACCCTAATTTATCACATTAACTATACGAACTCCTGAAAGGACTTACCTCCTCAAAAAATATTCCCTTTTGATGAGTTAAGTTGCACCTAGCCGATCTCTAAACTAGTTTTAGCTGCTCAAATTGTTTAGAAGAAGTGTCCGCCGATTTCTCCTCTAAAATTTAAACAACTAAAACACGTTCTCTCAAAGGATTCCCTCTTTCTCGCACGACCTCCTCTCTCTTTTGCTCAGATGCATCCATGTCGGAATAAGAAGCGCCCAAGCCATAGTCTGTGGAGGATGAATTTTTCCTACTTTCTCGACTACTTCATCGCACGCTTACGCCGCACATGGTGATCCTCTATCAAATTACTTTTGTGGAGCATCTATCCTAGGTCCTAGCTACCTCATGTACATCATCTAGTGTTGAGAAGTCGTCGTCAACCGCTTGGAGGAAGAAGAAGATGAAAAGAGCCTTACATGTGGGGTCTAGTTCATTTGAGGAGTTAAGGTTGAGAGTTCGGTTATGTTTGAGTTTTCTTTAATTCCTCAAATTCAAGGAATTGGGGTTTGAGGAGTTAAATTCTAATAGTTCGGTTAGAGATGCCTTGAGATGTACTATTTTCCACCATATCATCACTATATATGTGAATCATTCATGCATGGATGCTCAGGCCCCGTTCGCATCTCCTCCCACTTCCAGCTTCCCGAGAAGCCGATGAGAAGCCCGTCGAACGGTTCAGCTCCTGGAAGCTGGATTCTGGAGAACGAGCAGCCTCTAGTGCAATTTGCGGGAGCAGCTTCAAAAAAGGAGAAGCAGGAGTTGCAGGAAATTACACCTGATTGCCCTCCCGAAGTGACGCTTGAACCGTTTTCTCTTGCAAGCGAGCTCTCTGACCGACGCTCGAATCGTTTTCTCCGCTGAGGAGCTGCTCGTCCAGACGAACGCTCGCCCAGCTCCCGCGAGAAGCCAGCTTGCCAAGCTCCCGCGAGAAGCTGGTCACTTCGGGAAGAAGGATCACTTTCGAACGGGGCATCACTCCGTTTCACAATACTCCTATCTTGTGAAGCTCATCGTCTAAATAAATAAGACAAAAGCTTTACACACCTATCTTGTGAAGCTCATCGCCCAAATTGGAATATTTGTAGCACGGCTTGACCTGCGTGCATTAGAATGAAGATTATCGTCCATCTCACTCTATCATGAAGTTAGAGTCACTGGACAGCGATGCGATGGGTGGCGATGATGACGTTGGTAGAAGTTCATTTGAGTTTTCTTCTTTCGCGTGTCAGACTTTGATGGTGTGGCCGTTCAGGTTTACGGTGCCTCCGGTCCATATCATATGACATACTGAACTACTTGTATTGCTCATATTCACTAGTAGAAAAGGGGGCAATGGTCTAGGCCAGGTCAGCCCATTAGTCCCGGTTCAATCCAGAACCGGTACTAATGGGGGCATTAGTCCCGGTTCGTGAGCCCAAGGGGCCGGCCGGGCCACATGGGTCATTTGTCCCGGTTCGTCTGGACCTTTTAGTCCTAGTTAGTGCCACGAACCGGGACTAAAGGGTGCGATGCCCATTAGTACCGGTTGGTGGCACCAACCGGTACTAAAGGTCTAACCTTTAGTCCCAGTTCGAGCCACCAACCGGTACTAATGGGGTTTGAGGCATTAGTACCGGTTCATG